CGACCAGTTAGTGGAAGTGGCCAACCAACATGGCCGGTAGGGTGACTATAGGTGGCCATTCCAAGGAGGCCGACCCGACTGGCTGGTACATTGGAGATCTACTCAATGAAATTCATTGCTTAATCCCAACAAAATCTAAATTTACATTTCAAATTTCTTCTTATTCACACCCAAAGCCATGAACTTCCAAAAGATAAGCAACCTTTCTCCAGGAAGGTTCGTCCTCCCCGAGATATGCTCAATAGAATTCATCGCTAAAACTATCGACTTCCGCTCATCGGCCGCTACCGATCACATCATTGAGCAGATCAATATTATATCAACGAAGTCAAACCTTCCTAGAAGAAGATAGCTTATATTTGGAATTTTAGGTAGAAGTTCTATTCGTTTTGAGTTATGATTGTAAAATGTAATTGTGAAAAGATGAATTAAGCCTTGTGTGCTTCGTGCTTTCTTTTTGAGGGCTTGAAGTTAGAAACCTTGTTTTCAAAATTCCATTTCAATTTCATACTCAAAATGAATTGGGTGAAAGTGAAATTATCCTTTATTATTCTAATGCTCCGAGTCCCTCCTTTCATAGAGAAAATCATGATTTTATATTCATTGTTTTTGTGTGAAATTGGGAGTGGGTTCTGCTTCTAAAACTTTAAAAAAAGGCATTTACATACATACCACCTAATTCCTATGTATTTACCTATCTGACACCTAAATTATAATTTTTTACATTAATAAAACCCAAATCTTTCATATCATATAAAAAATACCACAATTTTAACTTTTAAAAAGGGAAATACACTTTTTTTTAATGCCTACATAAGGTGGTAAGTGTAAAAATTGAAATTCGGGGGTTGTATATGTAAATATGTATAAATTGAGTGGTATGTATGTAAATAAGAATTTAACATGGCTGCTCCTCCTTCAATAAAAAGACCAACAAGAAAGTCGCCATTAAGAAAATCAACAATGCCTTCGATAATCTTGTCGATGCATTGAGAACATGAATGGTAGGTTAGCCAAAATAGAAATAAAACATAGGGTTACACATAAGCTAGATTAGTCCAGTCTAGAAGCCTAGATTAATTTATTAGGTAACCTTATCTAGAATTAAGGTCTAGGACCTATAAAATAAACTGTGTTACCCCTGAGATTGTGTAGTTGCTATAGGATGAAGTAACCCATAGTTACTGACAAAGGCACCCATAGCCATCTTTAATTAAGAAAGCGTCCACTTTTAATAATGTGATTCCAATCTGTATCCATCATCCTTACAATTTATATTATGTGATGACATCATGATTTCCTTCACGGCAATAACAATTTCATGGCACATAAATCCAAAGAGCTTTAACTCGCTCAAAGTTCTCAACACGTTGGCCGATAATCAATGACATTGTTAATTTTCTTAATTACAACTTTCTCGTTGGTCTCCCTATTGAAGAAGGAGTAGACAATTCCACAAGCTCCTCTGTCAATTGGGTTGATAGGCACGTTCTTGTACCACCGTTTGATTGCAGATTCTGCTTTTTGTTGATATGAAGATCTTGGCATCATAGACACCTAACTATTATTCGATTTGACGAATCATGTTTGAAGATATTGGCTTGATAGACAATTCCATAAGCTCTTTTGTTTATCAAGCTGAGCGATAGAGGAGCTTACGGAATTGTCTGCCCCTCCGTAAACAGAGAGACCAACGAGAATGTTGCAATTAAGAAAATTAACAATATTTTCGACAATCGTATCGATGCGCTGAGAATTTTGCGTGAGTTGAAGCTCCCCAGACTTGTGCGCCACGAGAATGTTATTGCCTTGAATGACATCATGATGCCATCACAGAAAAGAAACTTTAAAGATGTTTATCTTGGTTATGAATTGATGGATACTGATCTCAATCATATTATTAAATCACCTCAGCCCTTTTCTAATGATCATTTGTAGTATCTTCTCATCCAGGTATGAATCTTTAACAAAATTTTATAGTAGGTTTATGTATATACCACTCAGTTCCTATGTATTTTACATATATATAACAGCTAAAGTTCAGTTTTTTGCATATATATATATATACCAGCTTTCTTACGGATAAAAAGATTTGTTTTTTAATGTGATGTGCAAGATTACGGTGGTATAAATGTGAAAAGTAAGAATTTGGGGCTAGATATGTTAATACATAGGAATTGGGAGGTATGTATGTAAATGCTTAGGAAGTTTATTTTCAGTTACTTAAACATTGCTGTCTTTTATTTGATGAAACAAAATTAAGAGTTTATATCAGTTATTTATATCCTTGCTGTAAACTCTTGCACCTTTTGAATCATACCTGAAATGGTTGGGATCAAAATAATCATCTCCTTGATAAGAATTTAAAATTGAAATTAGATAAATGGTAGATGAAGAAGCTGATAAATTAGCGTGGTAATGAAAATTTCCTACTTTGGAATGTTTAGTAGTTTAGATTGCAGTGATTATTTTCATTTGTTATGACTGATATCTTTTTGATCTTGATGTTGCACAGGCAAGTTTGAATTTTTTCATTGATTAATTGAGATGCATGAATATGAGCTCACTTCATCAAAGCGAAGAATGTGTGGTCAGGAGACGCTATTTTGATAGGGAAATTCTAATTTTTCTTCACGCAGAATTCATCTGAAATGCATGGCTGGGAAATTAGGAGACCCCCTTCACAATAGGCGATGGGGAGAGGGAAAATTCTCTATCCTATTTCTAGCCTATTTATAGACCAGGGAAAGAATGGAAAAAATGGAAATATATATATATATATATATGTATGTATGTATGTATATATATATGAGAAAATTTAACTTTTTAAAATAAATATAATTTTTTTTAATTAGGTTAAATAGGAAAATAATCTCTCTTAATTCACTATATTAATTATATATTATAATTTAAAAATGCACCAATTTCTTTCCAAAATATTTTATTTAAAATATATTTATGGCAAAATAGCAAAATTAAATTTTCTTAGCTATTTGAGTATAAATAGCATGCAATTCTTTTGTATCGCACTCCTAAACTTACGAAATTCTTTATCTGCGCGCTACTTAAGGTCTGTTTGGGACAACTTTTCATCTGTTTTGCTTTTCAGACCGCCACCACAATTTTCCTCGGGGAACTACTTATTTGCTCGGTTTCCGTCTGTTTTGCTTTCAGACCGCCACTACATTTTCTATTATAATCTCATTGATTCTTGATTGTTTATTTTCTTTTTTTACTTTTTATTAATATAAAAAAATTATATTCATCTTATTGTGTTCTCTACTCCATATGATCTTCTTCAAACTATTGAATTATAGATTTTTTAGCCTTTAGAACTTGATTCATAACCAATAAACACATACCTTTCACTTTTATCATCAATCTTTGTTCTTTTATCAAATAGAATACGAATATATGTGATGATTGTAAAGATTTTAAAGTGAGAGATTCTTGGTCTCCTTCCACTCCATGCTTTCTGAGGTGTTGTTTCATGCATACCTCTTATAGGTGAGCAATTTCTTAATAAATTGCACAATTGACCGCCTGAGCCGAAAATTCTTTTGGCATTCTCTTATTTTTAAACACACTTCAAGCCATGTTGAGAATTATTCTATTTTTTCTCTCTACTACATTTTATTGGTGGCTTCGTAGCACTATTAAAGAACGACAAATTCCATGATCTTCATGATACTTCTGAAATTCATTGGATGTGAACTCTGCCCATCATTCATATCTAATAACCTTTATATTAGTATCACTTTCTTTCTCAACAAGAGCTTTAAACTTTTTATATTTTTCAAACACCTATGGTTTCTCCTTCAAAAAATAGAACCCCATTTTTATTAAATATTTATTGATAAATAAATAATCTTTACTCTCACTTAAAGACATTAGTTTAATAGGGCCACACAAATTGGTGTATATGAGCTTAAGTGGTTTTATGGCTCTTGAAGCTGACTCATTTGGAAAACTTTTGTAAGATTATTTTTCAAGTAAACATCCTCCTCAAAGTTGACCAGGTTGATTGATGTAAGACAAGCCTCTCACCATCTATTTTTTTTATAGAAGTTCAAACTACCAAAGTTAAGATTTCTACATTGCAGATGTCCAAAATATGATGAATTATTATAACAAGCTCTTAAACACTTTACAATTCACATTAAAAGTCAAGAAGTGACATTTTATATAACAAGCTCTTAAACACTTTACAATTCACATTATTTATTTTTTTTACATTGGCACCTTAATAATCAAACTATTTCTATCACCTCTTAAGAAAATATCATTTTTTTGTTTAGTGAATATCTTATATTGTTTTAGTAATTCACTGAAACTAAAAATAATAATTTTCAAATTGGGTACATAGTAAACATTTGAAATGAACTGATGGTCTTCGTTCTTCAATCACATTATAATTTTACCTTTAACTTGTCTTGATATTTTTATTGATCTCTAAATGAGACATTTCCTCTGATTGCTTCATTAAGCTCCATGAACATGATTATTTCTCCACATGTGATTGCTTGCACCAATTTCGAAGTACGACCTATTGACTTGGCCTTTATCTTTATCTGTGCATGCTAATAATAAAGTTTCTTCTTCTTTACAATTATCTTCTATAAGGCTGGCTTTCTCTTTCATCTGTTTGGGGCATCTACATTCGACAACATAATGACCTTATTTTTTATAATACTAGCATTTAATTAATGATTTGTCATATCTTGACCGTAAATTTTCTCTTCCACAATCTCTTGATATTTGTTGCTTTCCACTTCTACCTCCATTAGTGAAGTTGTTAGAATTATTATTATATCTACTTCTTCGTTCTATTTAATGTCCACAACCACATCCAAAACTTTATATATATATATATATATATATATATATATGTAAATTTTAGAAGCTAATATCCATAAAAAATACTAAAACCACAATGTCTTCAAAACAAACTACATAAAACCCAACAAAACTTTCACGGATGTTTAAATCTGCCTCAAAGCCACATTAAACACATTTTCAGACACACATCTATATACAACCAATAAATCAAACAAACAACAGTAACTAAAAAACAAACTAAAATCAGTTTTTCTCAACACAACACTCCTAAACTCAACTTCTAGAACTAATTAATTAAAACCATTAATTGCTTACTGAGAGTCCCCCGAACAAGAATGTAAAGGGTGGTAGTAAAGCATCTCCTCCCACATCAATTCTCTGATCTCTTCTTCTCCAAGATCTTCTTCAACATTAAGCTCCACAGGAACCTCAGTCAGCGGGTCGGCATTCGGATCGAAGAGATCCGACAAGTACGGGTGTTCCAACGCCTCCGCGACGCTTATTCTCCGCGTGGGATCGAAAACCAGGAGTTTGCTCAAGAGATCTAGTGCCAGTGGATTTGCGTTGGGGTAACGAGAAGCTAGAGGGATTCTAGGAGAGTATGGCAGAGAATTAATGAATTGGCGAGCTCTAGGGTTGTCGATGAACTCGATATCAACATCACTCATGGTGCCGAGGACTTGGATTATAAGTTTGAGTTGGTCGAGGCATTCGGTGCCGGGGAAGATGGGTTTCCGGCCGAGAAGTTCGGCGAAGATGCAGCCGACCGACCAGACGTCTATCGATGTTCCGTATTTCTCGCAACAGAGGAGGAGTTCCGGGGCTCTGTACCACCGGGTGACGACATATTCGGTCATGAATTGGTTGTCTCTGGAGCTGGAGCGAGCGAGACCGAAGTCGCAGATCCTCAGGTCGCAGTTGGCGTTGACGAGGATGTTCCCGGGCTTCAAGTCTCTGTGAAGAATGTTTGCCGAGTGTATGTACTTCAATCCTCTCAGCAGCTGCATAATGATGAGAATGTCTGATTAATCTTAATATCACCCTTAATCATACTAATTATCACACTAATTGGTCAATTTTTAATTTCATTAATATCTACATGACATAATTAATACAACTTTAGCCTAATTAATGCCCCATTACCATAGCACACCAGCTAACACACTAATTAATTAGTGGTAATGGGTTAACAACTTCAGTGCCTAAACAGATTAAGAAAACCAGGATACAACTTGTCAAAAAGCAGGAGAAAATAATTGACAAGTCAACAACCCTCACATAAGAAAAGAAGGGTATCCACTGCCCTATACATTCACATATCTAACACATATACATTTATGTACAAAAATCATATATAAAATTTAGTTAAAGATCTATACCTGGTAGAGAAAATACTGAACATGATCATTAGAAAGCGGCTGAGGCGATTTAATAATATGATTGAGATCAGTATCCATGAGTTCATAAACAAGATAAACATCCTTAAAATTTCTTCTTTGTGCTGGCACCATGATGTCCTTCAAGGCAATGACATTCTCGTGGCGCACAAGTCTGAGGAGCTTCAACTCGCGCAAAGTTCTCAGCGCATCGATCGGATTATCAAAGACATTATTAATTTTTTTAATCGCAACCTTCTCGTTGGTCTCTATGTTTATGGAGGAGCAGACAGTTCCATAAGCTCCTCTGCCGATCGCCTTGAGAAGCATGTACTTCGTGTCGATTTCAAACGTGTTTCGGAAAACCGAATAATAATGTTTACCTTCAGATGGAATGCCGTTTGGGGGATTCACCATTATCGCCTCCATTGCTCCTCAATCTTCTGCAGACAGAACTCGATTTGCCTTCCCTGCGATCTCACCGAAGATGATAATGGACAAACAGCGAAAAAGCCAGATAAATATGGCCGACGATAGTCGGTTAACTCGCGGGAACTCTCGACTACGGCGGAGCACGATGCGCCGACGATTCAGATCACGCCTTGTGTCCGAAATATATGGCTTGGATCATCCGATCGGTTACTAGGCAGGTATGGCTTTAGATGTAATTCAAGAGATGAGATAGGCCGCGGAATCTTCTGCGGTTTAGACGGTCTGGGATGCATTTTGGGCCGCGAGATGGCGGAGAACGAACGGGTGATGTCCACGTGTGGAGCTAGCGGGTGTTTGCTGACCCAACAACGGCTGGCTTTTGGAAGTAAAGTGGGGTTTGAGTAATAAGAAATTTGGTATGGAACTGCCAGCTATTTATTTTTTATTTTTTATTTTTGTTATTATTACTATTTTTTTATTTTTTTATTAGAGGATCAAGTTATAAGGAATGATATATGAAATTATAAGCATATAAAAATAAACAAAAAGGAATGGAACCAGGAAATATTTTTTGATGAGACCATAAATTGATAATTTCAAAATTAGTTTCAAATATTTTTATGAAGATTTGGGATTGATTTTGATGATTTTATATATTTTTATATTTGCAATATAAATTTGAGGAAAATATACAAATAAAAATTGTTTTTTGAAACATCTGCGTAATTAACTTATTATCAATATTAAATATAATTATAAATAAAAATATAATTTAATGTAAATAGATCACGATTAAATGCTAATTTAAACTAAATTGCTTTTATATGTTATCAACTAAAAGTAAAAAAAAAATAATAAGAAAATAATTTTTTTTAAAAAATCATTTCAAACTCATGTGAATGCTCTGTAATATGCTCAATAATTACTTAAAATCAAATATAAAATATAACTGAAAATTTAATTTAGTTTAAATAACATATATCTAAAATTTTTAAAATTAAAATAAATTTATATCATTAACATTAAAATAATTAAATTAGCTCAAATTTTTTAAGAAAAAGTATGCCATTTTTATTTAATATGACCATATTTTGGGAGAAAATAAAAGTTAAGTATAAAAATAAAATAAAATAAAACAAGCCAATAAAATTGAGCCTGTCGGGTTGCTTTTAAATTGAGGTTTTGCATGTTAGATATGTAAATTTATAGGAATTGAGCCGTATGTATGTAACTGTCCTGTGGTTTATAATGTGAAGCTTGCAACTCTTTAGTCCCACACTGAACAATTACAAAACATTACTACTTGTTGAATTCATAAACATAGTTGAGCCATTCAAAATGTTAGGGGCATCAGGGTGAGGTTGGAAAAATTATTCCATACAGTGACCGCACTCAAAGTTGTGTGCGGTCACTCATTAAAAACCAACCCCTCCCTTGAAAGTGGGCTCCACTTTTTAAAATTTTTAAAAAATGATGTCTATTACGTGGCATAAAATGATTGGGGGGCGTAGGTGTGGATTTCGTATCGACTAAGTGCTCGTACTTCAGAATATCATCCATAAGATATAAGATATTGAGAGATAAGCTCTCCCATCACTATATTATTAGAAGACAACAAAAGTGTATTGTCAATTTTATTGTGAATATTATGAACATTTAAGAGGGAGGTGCAATCAATACAAACTCAAGGCCAACTACTCTATCATCCATAGAAGAATTAAATTAAAAGTGTATAAGAGTAGCTTGTGATGAGAATTTAATTTAATTGCTAACAAGAGGGCAATCTTCCAAAGCAAGTCATATCTATTATTAAAAACGTTGGAGCAACCAATGAAGGTGATTAAGAAAAATAATAATAATAACTTACTGATTTCGGAGTATATTGGAATGCCTAACTAAACAAATAAGATAATTATTCCTCTGATTCCAAACATAGTGGTTTACAAGAAGGAGATGTTAGCATTAATGTCCCTAATAGGCATAAATTCATTGTTGTGGGTTTTGAGTGGTGCCACTACTATTAACAATAATAACAATAATAGGAGTGACAACAACATCAATGATAATGAATCAATATCTCACAAGTAATATTTGATATAGTTGGCATTCATCACATGCGTGTATGAGACTATTTTATTTACCAGAGCTCTAATTTGGAGCGTTAAAATGAGTTATACTTACAAGATGCTTTCGACCTTGAAAAAAAATGCTTGGAATTATCATAATGCATTAACATTTAAAATCCTTAAGTTGTCTGCATCTTTAGTGCATAATACTTACCAATAAATTTTTTTAGCGAGCTCATAGTAATTTCAACAGTGTTAGAAATCACTTTTAAGAGTGTTTGTTTCACAATAAATTACTTATAATTATTTTTTGTTTGTATTGTGAAATTCTTTGGTTGTCCTTCTAATATTTTTTGTTGAGTTTGTGATTGTCCTTCAAATACTTATTTGCCTTCACAAATAATGTTTTAAAATAATTATAGTTTTGATAATAAGTTGACCAAATCAATACATGGTTTACACAAATGCACATGTCATTTAAGTAATAAAATTATGGAGCACGAGATCATTCTCACAAAAAATTGACATCAAAATATCAAATTAAGTTAAGCACAAGTCCTACTTCATGTTAAACTTTATCCAAATAAATCAAAACAAATTGCAAATAAATCAAAACAACATTGGATTAGTCAACTGCCGCAACCATTAACCATTAAGGAGTTATATGGCATTAAACCGCTTCTACAACATAACATTAAGGGCCTGTTTGGCGCAGCTGCAGATTCTCAGCTTTTCAGCTGCAACTGCGCTGCCCCTGGAAGCAGCTGTAGGGAAGCAGCTGTGGGGAAGTTGACTGTCTGTTTGGTGCAGCTGTGTGAAAAATGTTGTGAGCCAGCTGTTAATGTAAAAATGACCAATCTGCCCCTGTCTGTTAAACTGTTTAAAATATTTCGATTTATTTGTATAAATATGGGCTTAATATACATAAAGTTTATCAAAAATATTATTTTTTACTTAATTAAATAAAATAAATGGTTTTCAACATTCATTTTATACATTTTAAAAAAAAAAATGTAATTTTGAGCACAAATAGGTTTAAAATTTTTCTTCATCTATATATCAAAGTATATGAATATTAATATCGTTAAGTTAAATATAATTTTTAATTTTTCGGTTTATTAAATATAAATTTATTAAATTCATTTATTAGTTGAATTTTATGGATTTGATGCAGGAAAAAAACATATTCCAAATAATTTTTTTTTGTCAAACACATCCAATAAATTTAATTTTGATTGAATCAAATATTATTTCAAATTTTATAGTATTTAGATTTGAAAATTCCTAATATTTCAAAAATAAAAAATATTTTCCTGCTAGGCCGCCGGTAACATCACAAAGGGTGGTTGATTGTAACAATCATTGTACGCCATTCTAGGTGCAGAAAAACAGCTGGAATAATTTATTTTCCGTTCTTCCACATTTAGGTAGGGATGGTTGGGGGTGCGTTTTTGGTGCGTTTTTGGTGCGGTAGTGTTATGAAAACGCTGCCTTTACGTTTGGTTAAGGCGGGCAGCATTTTCTTAAGGCCGCCTTTCGAATGATACACGGCTGTGGGATCTTAACGTCAAGCGGCTGTGGAATAAAAGTTACTGCAAAGCCTGGTACAATATGCTAATGTCTGGTTCTGTCCAAATCAACAATATCTACTTTCCTGAACATGAGGGGAGTTTATGGCATTGGTTTTTTTTTTGGAAAGAGCATCACAACAATAGTATTTACCAATGCTGGTACTGATGATGGATTTGTTGGAATTTCAGCACCATCTCCAGCAAGAATACTTCCCATAGATTTGGCAAATTTTGGCGGGGGCAATTCCTTGCCAGGTCCGCCTAAATCTTCACCACTGCAATGCAAGTATAAGACTTGTAACTCCTGAAAC